CTGCTGGGTATTTAAAATATTTTCATTTTTTCACTCTGAACTTAAGTTTACTCTGGGTTTCGTCATATGTTGCATAACCATACACTGAAAGGGGGGGGGGTATTACAAGGTATTTTGGCATATCCGTTGTTTTGCAGTTAAAATGTGTAAACATGCATAAAACAATTAGCAATTACATAAATATACAATGCTGAAAAGGAAATGCATAAAAGGAATAATAGGAAATATATAATGTATAGTATCATCATAATCTGGATGTTATACTGAAAGTGAGAATGACTGTGATTAACCAATGTGAGAATAATTTTTAAGGTAAATGATTTGTTATTCCTTAGGCTATACAGAGTACAAACAAACATGTTATATTCACCACCAAAGTCCAAAAATAATACAGTTTTTCTCGATTGCTAACACACTGTAACTGATTTATTTGGCCCAATTTTCCAAACCATTCATACTCAAAACGTTTAACACATTTCACCTGTTTACACACACGTTCCAATTTGCTCAGTATTTTCTGCAAAACTCTACACAAAAACGCCATCATTTTGCACAGGTTTAACAATGTTCTCATTCAGAAAACACAAACACACAATATAATTGACTCAAGCATCAAAAAATTAACTCAAACAGCACACATTTATCAATGTGTGAACATTAAGTAGCAAAACTGATGAATGCATTAACACAGTTAAATCCAAAGACCAAATTCTAAATTAAAGATGCATTCATAATGTAAGCAATGGACCATGAGTAAACACTTCAATCATGTTTTACTAATTAATTTAGTAGTTTAGAAATTATAATATTCTAGGCTATATATTATACTGGCATGCATAAATACTCACACACATTCCAATTTTTTAATGATTTCTCCAAAGTTGGCCTCATTTTACAGATATTTTATGTTCTCATTCATAAAACACATTATATAATTAACTCTACTGTCACAGTGTGAACTCAAACAACACACAATTATCCATAAGCAAGCATTCAGTATCAAAACTGATGACACACCAGTCAGAATCTCAGGATGATATGAACAAGAGCACAGCTGATTATGTGTTTTTGGAAAATGAATCCTGGTAGTGGGAAACAAAGATGAATAGGAGGGGAAAATAAAAATGAAGGGGACAAGGTCAAAAGTCATTAGTTCCTGATGAAATACAAAGCACTATAGTTGACCATGT